GCCAGCATTAAGTTAAGGTTATCTGTTTATAACTCAGCCAGATTTGGGATTTTTTTCTTTCACAGGAACAACAAAAATTTAATTCCTGACACCAGGACAACCCCCACTGCCAAAGGTCAAGTCTTTTCTCCAAAGCAAGCGGTGCTAGTGATTGGCAATGAAACAGCTATAAGAATGTGGTCAAAACAATGTATTTTTCCCTACTCTTGTTTTTGGAAAAACAAATCATCTGAGGAAGACATCTGGCATGAAAAATTTCAGCTCAAACAGTTTAAATTATAATGAGAAGTGTTGACCAACATAAGCTAAAGATGGTGCCGCCAGTTCTGCCTATAACAACACTCAACTAACGTACTGTGAAGGGCATTATCTAGCTGAATAGAAAAATGAAGATGGCTGTTATGAAGGTCATTGTAATACCTATTACAATGTGTGTATAGGTGTGTATGTGTATATGTAGTTATATAAAGAGACACACACACGTTGTACAATAGGAAATCTTGTTAAAATATGTCTCAGGGCAGAATTTGGCCTTAAGTAACAATTGGCTATTATAAACTAACATAATGTTTTGGAATCTATGAGGTACCTGACCCCAGGTCCTTTACACATACCTGGACAGGTAAGATTTGTGCAAGTCCACTTTCCTCCAATACAAGTACTGAAAGAAAAATCAAAAGGTGCATATTAAAAAAAATTCAAACATTGTCCATCAGCTCCACCTCCTGGTTTTCTGCTCCATGGAGACATCACCAAAAGAGTAAGTGGGATGAAGGGGTACGGCAATAGCAGAAGATGGCCAGACCCAGATATTGTGGGCAATGGTTGGACTTGATTATAAGTGGGGAGGTTGCTGAAAGAAGTGCCATCTGTTAGTTTGCATAGAGGCCCACAAAATCTAGGATTAATCTTGCTTTTCTCTCATTAGTGATCATTATAAAAACTAATGATGAATGAATCCCAAAAGGTCAGGGAGCTTTAGTTTGGATCGAATCACTTGAAAACGTGGATGTTTATCCAAACTTTATTTGAACCTGTTGGATGTGCTTGATACAGAAGTTCAGGTCAATTCCTTTTTTTTTTTTAATCTGAACTTGATCACCTCTCCTTAGTAAAAGAAAAAACAACATGGAACAATTCTGTTAATAAAAGGACTGTATTGTAGAGGGCTGAGTTTTAGGGAAGTCTCACTTTCTAAGATTTTTGTTCAGACTCACTCACAAGATGTTTCTCTGCAGCATCAGAACCCCTTAAATATTTATACGGTTAGACTTTTCTGAATATGTAATGAGTCTGAAGAAAAAATGGAAAGTATCAAATACTTGTTTGTTCTGCAACATGCCTTCCACTCTTCATAAAATAGGAAGCCTTGCATCTTAAATGCTATTCCTATCATGGTGCGCGGTGTATCCAGCATCATTGATCTCTCTCTTAGAAATTTTTTTTCAGTACAGAAAACAGTAGTTGGTGCAGTTATGGAGTGCCCACATCAGAATAGCATTTTTATTATTACAGTTCAGAACCGTCCCGTTTTTAACTCATGAAGAAGCGGGGGGGGGGAAGGGAGTCACTTTGCAAGGCCTATGGTATGCAAGAATATGACCAAACACATTTAAGTTCTATTGAAATAGAAGTTCTAACAACATTTTTAAGGACAGCAATCTGTAATAACACTAAGCAATAAGGGGGAACCAATGTTAAGGCAAAGACTGAAGGTGTCTATTTTCTGTAGCAGAGGTTTATAAAAAGAATAGAAAGCTGTTCAATTTTTCATTTTATTGAAATGAAACCTGTATCTATCCTGCTCAGCAGAACAATTTGATCTTGTCAAAGAGAGAACATCTTCCCTTTGGCCTTGAAGGTAAGATATGCAGTCTACTTAATGCTTCTTTGTGGAAAAGCATATTCAGGGTGTACTGTAACTATAAGAGTGGTGTGGCTCATATCTCAAACATCTACATCTCTACAAGAATGAAGGAAGGAAGAGATCCCTGAGCACAGATCTCATTATACATCACCACTTTGCATTGTCTGCTCACCAGACATGTCTTTAAGACTCTTCCACCTTCCAGACTACAGCACACATAAAAAGACAATGGTTTGATTTAGTGTTGTTGCTTTCAAAGTGTGTCAGATGTAATTCCCATAGGACCCATGAAATCCGGCCATACCAGAGCATCCAGAACAGCAGAAACAAGCTTCTCTAATCAGCCTTATTAAAATGCAGTCTCATATTTTTGCGCTCAACACCACAGAATGATCTATTTTATTGGTGTCCAATCTGTGGCTCTTGAAGCTCTAAATTGTGGCCCTCAAGTTTCACAATGTTAAAATATGGTCTTGATTATAAACTGAAAATGCATTCCCCAAGCCAGGCCTTGCAATTATTTAAATGAAACATTTGAATCAGCTTTGTCACTACAGGAAGGAGCTAGGGGACACTGCCTCCTCAGCTGACTTCCCACTCCTTCCCCTGCCTCCCAGAAGCAGCTCCATTATGAGCCGGAACTTCATGAGCAGCTCCTGTCCCTTCCCTGCTGCAGCTGTTCAGCAGTTCCCCCACTTGCTGCCTACTGGATTGCAGGGGAAGGGGAGTAGCTCTGGTTGCGTCACGGTGGGGTAGTGGGCAGCCAGACCTAGTGGTCAGAGACAGAGTCCACAGTCATGAGACAGAAGTCAAGTATCAGATGGGTCAGGATACCAGGAGCTCAGAAGCAGGAGACAAACTGGAGATCAGAACCACAAGTCAGACACCAGGAGTCAAGCCAGGGGAACAGGAAGCACAAGGCACACAGTCCAGAACAGGGTGGATCCCAGTTGTTCAGACAGCTTCCTGTTCCTGCTGCTGGCTTAAGTAGGACCAGCAGGCCAATCAGCTACTCTGTCACTCCACCAATAGGACCTCAGGGGAGGAGCCTCAAACTGGAGTTCATGGGTCCTGGGTAAGCAGTTGTCAGCAGGCTACCAAGTGGTGGGTTCGAGCATGGCTACTCCTGTCCTACAGACCCAGATTCGAGGCCCATGGGTTGCTCCATTGCTTACTTACCTCACAGATTGTGGGAGCCTGACGAGGAGCTGACAGAAGCTGAGTTGGCTCTGCCTGAGCCTAAAGGAATATTTAGCAAAGAGTGGTTCCCCTCCCCTACACAGCCTTGGCTGGGGAGAGGATGAAAAACTGAGAACCAAAAATAGTTATGGCTCCAGTTATGGCTCCGAGTCCAGGTTAAAGTAGCCTGGGGGCTGCTTTATCTTGTTCCAGCTGGCTACAGTCCCCAAGGGACTATACACTAAACGGGGATGACCAGAGCACAGCCTGAACCAGAGGCTGTGGGGAGAAAGAGGCGAAGGAACCAACTATACTCAATGAGTGTCCAAGGAGGACTCCTCCGTACCTAGAAATCCCCTGCAGGAGACATGGTTTCCACTCCATTTGTGCTTCCTGAGTACACAAAGGGAAGAGAACATAGGGGATTTTAGGGGAGTTGAGCAACTGGAGCTTTCATTGACTTCATTTGGAGGCATGGATACTCAGCAGCTCTGAAAAATCCAGCCTTGTGTAGCTGATTAATAAATCACCAAGTACAGGTCATGCAATTGGTAAATGCAGAGGGCAGCTGCGAAATGAATTAATGATCACAGTAAAGAATGGTGAGCCCAGAATAAGTGTCTGTGAAACTTTAAGGATTCTATAATTATATAAATTTCTCCATCTAAGCTTAACATCTGACCCTATAAGTAGACTCTTTCTGATATTATCCTAGCAGTTTCACTATCCTAATATTTGATCTACCATCCAAATTCAGATTCTGCCTGTCCCTAGGGAATTTCTAGATTCAAAGAAGTGTTGACAACACCACGGAAATTAAACAAGGATACCTGAGAAGAAGATTATTTTAGAGTCTAAAACAAGATGTCTGATACTTATCTTGAGTTTCCACAGATTATCTGAATTTGGGTTTGAGCTAAATTTTATCCCAGTATAAATTAGTACAACTCCACTGAAGCCCTAGAGCTGTGCCAATTTACACCAACAGAAAATCAGACACAATTATGTAAAAATTTCTAAGTTTATTTAAAAGTTTAACATTTATCTGCTTTATTTTTCTGATTTGCCTTTCATAAATGAAAAGAAAAGTGCATTCACTGCCCCTCCATAATCAGACAAAATATGTTATATACAAATTGATTGTATTTTCATCAGGGCTTTGGAGTGGAGCCCGGAGCTGGAGCGCGGAGCAGCTCCGGAGCAGTGGAGCTGCAGGTTTTTGCCTGGAGCTGGAGTGGAGCCAGAGCACAGCTCCAAAGCCCTGATTTTCATAAAAATAGGGGATGTAAGAAAGGGCTTTTTGTCTCATGATCAAATGATTAATCAAGTATGCAGTACAAAAAGGGAAGTTACTAACCAGTTATTGCACTCCTCATGAACCACAGAGCCTGTTCTATAGGAATTTCCATGATAATCACATGGGCATTCTGTAGGCTTGACACATAATTCATTTTCATAAATTAGACCTAGAAGGAATAATCCAACATGAAATAAATGTGAATGAGCTTCATTAATGGTGGCTGGAGCTTTGTCTACCTAACTAGTACTTCTAATAATAAAACTAATGGCCCTATGGAGTAAATGTTTTAGAATAGCTTGAAGTTTCTTCCATCTTGCAGAAAAAAATTATATCTAATTAAATATTAGATTTAATCCCTTTATTGTTGGAGATACACTGAAGTAACCGGGAGCTGCTGGTTAAAGTTTAGTATCTTTGAAAGTCACACTGCTTTATTTAAGTGCCTTATGGATCTGGGAGCTTAATGTCAAGCACTCATTGTTTGACACGCTTGGCCTTTGGCCATACATTTTATTCACTGTTTGCTGTGTATTTTGTTCCTTTAATAACTAATTTAAATTATAACTATTTTAGTACTAGAACCCATAGCACAATAGCCCACTGGAAACTAAGCAGATAACAGAGATGATTACACTTACATACCAGCAGAGAATTACTGAGGGGCACCACTTTTAAGATTCATGGAACATCACTACTCTGTTTGATCCGTCCCTTTCCAGACAGTTATATATCCAATAACTGGCAGTAGCAAATGGAGAATACGGACAAGATTTTGTATTTACGTCTGTGCACAAGGCTAAGTTAAGAAATACACTCTATACAAATAGGGACACATCTAGGACCCCAGTTCCCAGCATCAACAGAATCTCAGCTTTCATTTAAAAAACCATAACTATGTATGTTTCTAGCCGTCATGGTTGCAAAAGAGAGCTTGAAAATGTAACTTGAGTGTAACCAGTGCCATGATGTCTGCCTGAGTCTGCAGACGCCTCTAGCAGAGAGATGAGCAGCAGCCACTAGAACTAGGGAGGAAACTGCCTAACCCCAAAACCAACACCAGAGCAAATCATTGCCTCTTGCCAGGGGGTGGAGCTCTGTTGCTTCTGTGGTGGTTCCACCTGGCTACTGGTTGCAAGAGTGGAAAAGGCTCAATCAGTGCTGGGAGAAGGGCCTCCCCGGTACTCCCCCTGTTGAGGCAGCAGCCATGATGAGTCCCCCTTGCGAGTGTGTGCCTAGAATGATCCCCAGCTTGCCGCCCATTAGTTTCACCAAGGCTCACACACATATCTGAAGGCCAAATTTAGCCATAGGATAAGTTTAGCCATAGATAAAACAAGTTTGAGAAATAAGGCTGTGTTACCATCTGGACAGTAGCATCCATCGACACAGGGAAGTTCACTGTCAATACACTGTGTTTTTTGCTGACATGAAACTGGGCAACAGTCGATACATTCATTGTAGATTAAAGGTTCTTCACAGGTAATAACTGAAAAATGAAACAAGCTGAGAAATGAAAAGGCATTATGCTACCACCTCAGTGGAAGTTAATACTATTCACACTGTTTTCATATATTTTACTTTTTTTAAATTCACGTATCAAATCTGATGTACTGAATTGTGAAGGTTTATCCAAGTGCTACTTGAATAAAACATTTTTAAGTCCTTGCAAATTTTATATTTCAGAAATCAAAGGAGTATTAATCAATATCTGAGACAGCACGTTTACAAAAGATAAGATGCACAATCTTCTCAAAAATACCTGCAATGTTTCTAACAGGATGATTTATTTTAAAACATTTTCAAGTTATTAAAAAACATATGCTTCATAATTTAGGACAGTCTTACATTTATATAGAACCTTTCATAATGAAATTTCCTAAGTACAGACTAAATGTGCAAAAATTAGACATAGTGAAGTTCATCTAGCACTGAAGTGCAGTCAGCTCTATGTTGTCTCTGGAAGGCACATTGAACCACAATAGAAAGAAAGATGTGCAGAACTGTCTCATCAAAGTTCAGCTATTGGGTAATATTTTCAAGTATGTGAGTAGCCAACATACCACATTGCTGAAAGTGCGTCCGCCATCCATGAAGGGGTTTTCCTGCTTGAGCACAGGTCCTGGCATATTCAGTTAATGCTCGACACCAAGTTGCATGATCAGCTGCTGACCTTATACAAATAAAAATTGGCATGACCTTACTTTCTCCATATAATCATATAACTTCATAAATATTTTGCTAAGTCTTGCATTGTTTCAACAATATGTATGTTCTGGTATTTGAATTTATATTAATAAGGAATAACATTTTGAAATACTGTGTTGGTTAAATAGCCTAAAGTTCTTAAATGAATAAAACATTCTACCCTGCTTGGGAGACTACTTATCAATATACATGGTGCCTGATTCTGATCTTAATTATACTGGTATAAATCAAGAACAACTCCATTACAATCAATGGACTTTTATAGCAATGTAAAAGTAATGAGAGTGAGATTAGAATCAGGTTCTTGATTTTTAACAAAGAGAAGAAATTCTCTCAGAAAAGTTATTAAGCTCAAGGGAACAAGAGGAAAGCATTAAGAGTGCCATCAATGTGCTCAGCATGGTACAGGATGCAAAAGGCTGTCTTTGCCCCAGCAATCTTACATTTTAAATCATAGTCAGAACAGTTCAGACAAACAGTGCATCAGGTTGCCAGATGACAGAATAATATTCAAGGAGTGTAGATTTTTAAAAAATCATTGATTGTCTCTGTTTGTCAGACTAACATATGTTTTGTGGAAGATTTTTTTTATTTGTTTGTTGATCCAGCAATCCTGCACCATTAGAATAGAACATACTGATTATAGCATAGCATATACAGTAAAATACATACACACTCAAGGATAGATAAATTGGGTAATTTAAAACTCATTGAAAATTACTGGGCCTGAGGCTTTTCTCACGTAAACCAGAGAAACTGAGAATAACTCCACTGAATCTGTGATGGTATGTGGGTATAAAGCCAGGCCCATTTATTACATCACAAGAACTGTTAGATAAAAAGTGTTATGCAGAAAAGACATGCATTGAAGGGTCAGATATATTTTCTGAAGAGAAGAAGAAAATGTGTTATCTACCAGCTTTTGAATTATCAAAAAATGCTTACTTACATGCAGAGGTCATTGGTGCAACTAGCCATGAAAGGAAGAGGACTCACATAATCATGACATTGTTCAAATGGAGGCCATAGTAGTGTATTACACAGAGCATATGCCTTCTAAAAAGAAAGAGATTGCTGTTGTGAAAGTAGTATTCTTAAAAACATAAGCAGCATAGCATATGGTGCAAAAGCAAAACATGTGGCGTGCTCATTAAGTAACCTCAGGCTAGGAAACAGTTTCTTCTCAGCAACTAAAAGCAGTTGCCTGTAGCATATTGCTCTCCATCAGGGCTGACTAGAGAAGGAAGAAGGGAGTGAGGTGTCAATTGTTCCAAGGCCTTAGTTCAGGGTCCCCCCCAAAATTGCCTGTAACTGAGGTGAAATGGCAGGGGGCAGCAAACATGATGTACCGGGACCCCAAATTTCTCTCAACATCCTAAGCTTGTCACAACATTGACTCCTCAGTGCTGTCTGTTATTGTCTGTACAATCACTGGATATGGACCAAGATGAGAACCTGAGACTCTGTGTTAGAGCTCAATCTGAATGCTCTCAAAGTTGTAGTCCATGTTCTGGTAGGGCCCATTCTAAGCTCAGTTCACATACTACCACAAAAACTTCTGCATACTTTAAACATTTACCTGTCATCAATAAAGCCTTCAAACACCTCCTGCCCTGAATTGAGAGGACCAGCCAACCTCTCTCAAATATACCTTCAGGCTTCACAACATGCCCAAGGCTCAATACACTCTAGTTCTGTCAGCCTAGTGGGCAAGTTCCAGCATCCCCTCATTACAGACACCCAGCATGTAGGTCAATTAAAATATACAATAAAATGCATCACAACCAAAATGTGACCTCTCAAGTCATCTGTCACTGGCTTCAGTACAAAATATTTCATCTTGGGGGGCTTCCCCAAAGCACATCATGTAGAGGGGAAAAATATTGGAATTGGGGTGGGCAAAAGGGGTGATAGCTAAACCCTTGTTGCTGCCACTTATGATGCATTTTATTTCTGTCTTCTTAAGGGATATTTGCCTAAGGAAGGATTCCAGCATTGGACCTTTGGTTTGCAGCATTTCACTGATACAACTTGAAAAAATATAGCTCAAGAATGTCACCGAAATTTTTCTTCCTTGGTTACAGAGATGAAATTTTGGTCCCCAGTGGCAAGAGAAGTGCTTTAATCTCTTTAAGCAGCTGTTTTGGCACCAGATCTAGAGGAAGCCACTGGCCTGGTTTCCAGGCTGCACCTTTTCTTATGATGAGACAGCAGAATGTGCCAAAAAATCAAGGACTACATTACAAACTTAAAAGAGAAGGCAGATGAAAAAAGCACAAGAATGAACCAATCCATCAACCACTCCACACCCCTTTCTAACTAAGCATAGTCTATGTCTTTGAGGCACTGTCAGGAAAAAATATGCACCTTGGAACTAGATGACACTAATCAAAGAACACTAACATAAACATCACACCTGGTACTAAAGGTTTTTGACTAAATCCTGCACTCTGAGTATTAAGTGAGGGAAAGAAGATGGTAGGAGAAGCAATTGTCCCCCAACCCAGTACTATCCCCCACCCCTCCCATAGAAGTAGGAAGGCAGAATCTCGCTATAACACTTGAGAGTTGAGAAAAGCAGACATTTAAACACACCAGCCTGGACTGCACACCATATCCCCGAAAAAACATATCTAGCCCCTCAGCCAGCTAGTAGATAGGCTGCAGTGAGCAGTAAGCAGGAATAGCAAATCGGGATTTGCAGTTTGCTCCTGCTTCACAGTCTCTCTTCACCCCCTTCCTCACAGCCTGTGGGGAGGAGTCCTGCTCTGCACCACAGCATTCCTATAGCAAAGGACACACTGGGCAGCATCTCTATTCTCCCTCGATGCACTGACCAAGACCCTATAAGAATTACAGACTGTTAATTTTTCTTGTTAATTTTGATTCACACCTGTAAAGAGTCTTGGCTTTGGGTCAAACAGGGTGGCTCATAGTTAAAAGAGTTATCCCGGTCAGGTGAGCCCTGTGGACGATTTTCCCTCCAGCTCTCTACAAACTCTGCAATGTCTTCAGTCAATTTTCCTAAGAAATATACACAAATATTAAAGCATCAATTTGACACAGAACAACAATAACCGCATTTGTATAGGCTCTTCCATCCGAGAACCTCAGAGCTTAACAACCATGTCAAAGGATGACCGTCTCTTTAAGAGTTGGGTCAGCCCCACTTGTGACTAACCAGTGGCCTCCCATCTGAGGCTGCAAGGTGAGGTTGATAGCCTGAAGGTCCATATCATGACCAGCAAGGTCTCAGCTGGTTAGGGAAGCCCTGTGGTAGGCCCTGGAACTCTAGAAATAGCCCAGCTGGTTGGTGTTTCCCAGGCAAATGACCTGGAAAGTGAGAGCTGCAGGGAGCAGGAAGGCTTCTACAGAAGACCATGGATTAAGGGAAAGAACCCAGTTATATGAAACTCCCAGGAAGGTGGCCTGGAGAATGAGAATAACAAGGAGTCCCTGGGTCAGGGCAAGGACTTGGAATGTCTGAGAGAGGTGAGGGAAACACCTGTGGAAACTATAGCCCGTGTTCGGCACAGGAAGTATTTTATATATGTTTTTTGCCTACATTTTTGGTTTAACCAATGAAGTGTGCCCTGAGGCAAGGGCTGAAACTGACTGTGGCATAGCATTCATTCTTCGTCGAGCTGGGTGAGGGTAATTTAAAGGGCCAGCTGGGAGAAGGCAGCTAAGGGCTGCACTCTGCAATAAGCCATTAAACTTGAAAGCCCACTTTAAAGGTACAGAAATAGTATCTTCATTTTTATTTTTGGAGAAAATGAGACACAAAAAGCTTAAGGGCAAGAATTTCAAAAGTGACTAGTGATTTGGGGCTCTCAGCTTGAGATACTTTAAAAAGGCCTGATTTTCAAATAGTACTAACCAACCACCCTCTCAAAATCTGGACCCTCTCATGTCTCAGGTTGGGTGCCCAGAAACTGAGGGTCTGAAATCACTAGTGAAAATCTTGGTTGAAATGAAATGACACATTAGTTGAATTTTTGGTGGTTTTCTTTAATTACACGTTAAAGTTTAATTATATATTGACTTATCCTCCCAAAATAGTAGTGGTATTTTCAGGTTGCCAGAGACTCCTTGTGCACTTAGATTTTTTACACTTGACAGTGTTCCCTCCTCTCTCTCTATCTACTTTTTAGGTTCCTAGAACCCAAAGTTTGAGTACAGTTCTAGCTGGGTGCTGAGCCAAATGTTTAGTTTATTTTGAAAGGGATCCCTAACCATAACCCTGGAGCCCATATTGAACCCAGATATCCTTACAGATAACACCTGACAGAAGGGTTACAATATCTTATTTTAATTTCAAACAGATCTACTTTTAAACACAATTAAGATTACCATAAAAACTACATTGAAGGGAATTATTTTTTGACCAGGAAAATTAAAGTGAACTGAAGCAAACTTATATTAACATCATAACAAATATGTAAAAATACTCACCATAACTAGTCTCAAGCTCATCCTGCAGGATAGCATTGTTGTTTCCACATAACCCATGTGTTTTGCCCAAGTAGTCTGGTGTCAACTTTATATAGACTGCAGATGTACCATCCCAAGCCAGAGTGAATGCATACCGGTGTCTAACTAGGATGTATCCAGCTAGTTTTTGGATGTGTACATTTCCTATAGCATGAGGTAACTGAACTCTATGAAGCAAGCATAATTAAAGACAAAAGAGCAAAGAATTTTTAAATGAAAATGATCTCCATGTAAAAGAATTATTACTCAGTGATTTAATGACTTCCCTATAAACTTGAGGGAAACTGTGCTTTGAGTAACACTGATGTAAATCTGGAGTAACTTAATTGAGGCCAACAGAATTATATCAGATTCACATCCAGCTCCAAACATGAATGCAGAAATTTTATCCTCTAATACCACAACATAGTTTAAATATCATTCTCCTAGTGCACTACTTTGTGAACTGCAGAAATGTTACCATCAATATGGAGGGCATATTTGCCTTTTAGCTGCCAATAAGTGATGCTGCTTATATGTACACTGATGTAAACAATGTCATGAGAATTGATTCAATGTAAAAACAAAACATACCACAATAAATGTGAATGTAATTACCCAAATCCTTTGTAGATGACCTCACTGCTCAACTTTATTTCTTCATCTCCAGAAAAAAATAGGCTAACAGACCTTTTGCAGGAATAGGGTGAAGATTTGCATTCTGGATCATTATTAACCTGCCAAATGATATTATTGGGGAGAAGTTACATTTTAATAACTCTCTCAACATTCCCTATGCTGCCCAACTAATACGTTCTGTCCCGATCATGACTTTTAGCAATGATCTCAAGGGGCAACAGGATAGTTTGGTCACCATGGCTTCAGTCCTGGGTTTCTCCAAGACTGCCAACAATTGTGATATGCAGCAGTATAGCTATGCCGCTGTAGTGTAGACACTTGCTATGGAGATAGAAAGAGTTTTTCCATCAACCTAGCTGCATCTATAGCTACATCTAACTACGTTGCATAGGGTATGAAATTTTTCAGTCTAAGATTTAGGGGTAGACCCAGTCTAATTTGGCCATCATCTTCTCTCCAGACTCTGAGCCTGATCATATCCTCCTAATTTTACAGTGTACAAAGCAAATTCTATTTAAGATGCAATGCTACTAACAGGAACTGGTGACTATATGAGTTGCAGTTGACAAAATGATGCAATGAAAGTTACTGCTTTCCCTAGAGTTTAGCCATTGGAAACAATGGCAATACACTAACACAGAAAAAGAAGTACACAGCAGTGACATGCCTGTGGGGGAAGGAGATCAAAGGTTGGCATCATTGGCAGAGCATAAAGGGCAGGGAGAAGAATAAGGGAGACCAATCAAAGATGCAGGAAAAAGCAGAATGAAGTAGGGTGCTGCGTGCAAGGACAAGAAGTTTGAGCTTGCTGGGCAGTGCAGTGGGAAGCTGGTGAGGTGACTCAGCAAAGGGCAGGGGATTAGATGGCTGAAATAATGTGTGGGAAAGACTATTTAAATTTGTAATATATAAAAATAATGCATCTGATATAAATTAAGAGACTATGTTAGAAATTATGTATTTGATGGAACTGTTTTTGAAAGATCGTCAATGTCTCAGCTTCTTCTACATTATCAGTAGTAGCTCTATTGCCATTAAAGATGAGTTAATATTCAAAATTTTTGATATTTAAAAAAATGCATTTCATTGTTATGAAACTATGCTGCTTACATACTGCAATGACAGGCACTACAGAAACTTTAATACATATATATTGTAGAATTTAAAATGAGTTCGATTATCTGGAATTACATGGCCTAATCCCAAGAGGTGCTGAGTACTGAAACTGGAAGTTGTGGGAACTCACTGAGCTGGGCCAAATATGAGTGAGTGGAATTATGACCAGGCACTTTAGCTGTGGTTCATATGTTCAATTGCACCCACAGAAATCATGAAACCACGGGTGCCAAACCTGAGTGGCATTGCAAGCCCATGCACCAGGTCACAATACCCAGAGTGGGGATCCAGGCCCAGCCCCACAGGACAGAAACTGCCACTGTGGGATGAGTGCAGGGTGCTCACTATCCAGTTCCCCCATCCTTCCACACTAGGCTTGGTTGGGATTAGGATTGTGGTGATAGGGCAGAGGGTGCTGCTGCAGGTCGTTGGTGCCCCTCTTGACTATAACTCAATATCATGTCCCAGAAGAGTTTAGTATAGTGCCCCCATTGAATTGGTGCTCAGCACCTCACCTGATCATGCCTATATATGTTAATACCATTGATAACCTTGTAACTTGTCTACAGATTATTTTTCCACTTTAAACTCACAAGTTATTTGTATGCCTGTGATCGTATGAAACTGACTTAAAAATGCAGTCTCCCACCTGTATAGAGAAACTCTGTTCATCTATTTCATTCTGTCTCACAAGTACATATGTGGATTTCCCAGCGAAATAATAGTAGAGTCCATCAAAGGTTTCAAAATGGTATTGGCCCCACGTTCGGCATATGTTATCCCTTTCAGCACCTGTGTTGTGCACTAGGCAGACAAAAGGAGAGCAATTTGAAAAGCATTAACTATTTATTTTTTGATTGAACAGGAAAGTTTAAGAAACACAATGCATTTGTGCTTGAGATTGCAGTCCCACTGCAGGATACCTGCAACACTCAGGGCGGAGGAGATATGAACGAACACTTCCAACTCTTTGGGTATGTCTCAGCATAACTCAACGCCAGCAGGATAGCAAGTAGTGGCTGGGAGTTGTGCAACTCCAGCTCTGCTAGTGTACTGGCTGTCCCCAGGGCAGGGAGTGACGATGAGGTTTGATGTCTTTTGGCAAAGGAAGGATGTCCATGTGGCTGTGAAGCCTGTATACTCTTAACCCATCCCTGGACAGATTGCATTGTAATAGAGAATCTTTTTTCTACACACCTGTCTGGCATCTTGATCCACTTGCATTAAATCGACTGCAGTCACAAAACTCTCTGTGCACACATTCACCTCCATTAAAACACATGACTGCATCTAAGTGAAGAAACAAGGCTTATTAAAAACTAAGTGTGATAATAATTTACATTAACAAGGCCCACTTCTGCCATTGAATGTAACTTGCATGTGAGTCAGTGGGTATTAGCTGTGCATCTGAAGACTGAATGGGCTGACATCTTTCACCTGAAGGATCCCAAAGAGCTTCACAAACAGTATTCATACAGGAATAACTTCACTATTGGAATGCAGACACATATGGCATGAAGGACTGCAGCCAAATGACCAGCGCAATACACTACAATTCAGGCATGCCAGATTCACCAGGGAAGATCTATATTCTGATAAAAAAGGCTATGGCATCTCGAGGCACCCGTAACCCATCTGTCACTGGAGTATCTGGGAGTCAACACAGGGATGGCAGGATACCTTAGTATCTAAAAGACCCCGAACACTAAAATGGATGAAGAGCTAAGTCAGCCCTGCCAAAATTCAAACCTGTTAGTCCATGGAGTCCAGATATTTCTAACTGCTAGGCCACTAGTAACTCCCATTCCTTCTGATAACTTGTAAGGGTACCAGTCACAAATCAATCTTACAAATATGGACCTGAATCAGAGCAGAGATTGACGCTTTCATTTCCCTAGATACTCTCCAACTTTTCAATGTAAAATATTTCTATTCATAAAGTACAATGAACCTACAGTATAGAAAGCAGAAACATTTTGATTTGTAATGACAATTTTGGTTTATCCAGAGTGGATCTCTATCAGAATCTTTTGGGCCAAATTTTCAAAGTACGAAGTATGATGTATGACAAGCAGAAATATGCATTTAACTACCAAATTAGCACCTTGAAATGCAACATTGGGGGCCAAAATATCTGCATGGGCATTTTGATGGGTTTGCCTATTTTGCCCATCTTTATCCTTTAAAGTTTGAGCTTACTTGGAAAATCACTGACTTTTAGTAACTGTACATAACTCCAATTACAAATCTGTCAATTTTATCTCCACAAGTATACAAAGTAGAAATATAGTTTATAATATCCAGAGAAGAAAAGCTTGAGAACATATCTGTTGTATGAAAATAAATGCATCATTATCATTTAAAGACTGGAGCTAACCAGGCAAGTTGAACTTTGAAAGAAGTAACCTCAGGTAGGTACAGCGTTTGGATTTGGCCTTTTTTTGTTTTACTTATTTTTTCTCTAAAAATACTTCAGTCTTTAGACAGAAGCATATTTTTGCTCACACAATTCTTGAAAAACAAACCATAACTATAACTCACAAGTCGTGTACAGAAACACAATACAAGGTCAAGGTTTCACTGGAAACAGGTACTGTTTTCTTCTACTTCTAGGGAACATTAATGTTTGAAATGTCAAATCACAATCAATAGTGTGTATAGTGAAATCATGGAGTGTCCTGATTCACTTCAGCTTTTGAAAGGGACGACTATGTTATTTAAAGTTTGAACCCTGAAAACCTACATGCAAGTACTGTGATTGGTTTCAATGGGCTTGGGCCCGTGAGTGAGGCTTCAAGGATTTGCATCCATGTTTTATGATGCAAAGTCATCTCCCATGCATTATGTTTTCTTCCAAATATTGGCATTCCCTGCACATAAATACAAAAAACACAAAGACCACCATAAGCTCATTCTGAACTATTTTACTAGAATGGCTGAATTCTATTTCCTGTAGACTAATTTTAAGATCACAAATCAAAATGTTTTGACAAGCCAGGCAAGGAACATTCAAAGGATGCATTCCTATTACTTTACTGTGGCTGTCTTTAGCAAGATAGCAAGCTAAAGACTTCAGCAAGAGTAATTTACCAGAAAACTTAATTTCAAATGCTATTTTCCTGCCTCATTTCCTGTCCTCAGATAGTTCATTTTATTGATACTTTTCATTACCAATTTTATACAAACACCTGCTATAGCAAGTGCTCAGTTTGTTATGCCAGCACTGGAGAACTTCATTATAGATAAAATGAGCCATATAGTTCTTCCTTCTAAAAACTTTAATTCCACTACTAAAAAATAATCTGAAGTAAAGCTGAGTATTGAAAGGTATCCTGCGAGAGTGATCCAGCCAAAAGTAACTGCAGCTTCAAGAGCAAAGAGAAATTAAAAAATTTCAAGTTTAATGAAAACAGACTATAATGTCCATATTCATTTTAAAACTCCAATTGGAGTTTGATCTGATTTTCAAATGGGCATCAAAAATGACACCCAGAAGTTTTGCATGGGCACCCATTTGCACACACTAGTGCCTTTAAATGCAGACACCGGCCGGGTAACTGTGCATCACCCACTATAATTTCCATGAATAACCCTTCTAAATAATGGGATAAATGTGGGATAAATTGAACTATGACTATACAGGGATTGTCCTATGAGAGCATAACCAGTCTGAATCCTACCTTTTAAAACTGCATGGAGTTGGTTTATTGATCACAGTACAGGTTTCACTATAAAATGCTCATACTTCAAATTTCTTCTGTTTCATAAGATTTTATCTTCTTAAAAATTAGTCCCTTTGCTTAAAATTGCACCTATGCTGGCACCTATAAGATTTCTCAGCACAGGAGAAACTTTTTGTCCAAGATTTTTAAAAATAGGTGCCTAGATCCATACTTGGTAACCTAAGTAAGTGGTCTGATATGCAAAACCTGCTGAGGACCTAGCAACTCCCATTAACTATAATTGACTTCAATGGGTGCTGCTAGATACTCAGCACTTTTGCTAATTAGACACCTAAATCTATATTTAGGAGGCTAATTTAGGCTATTATTTCTGAAAATTTTCACATTCAACTGCAAGTGTTTCCACAATATCTTCACAATTAGTCTACAGAAAGAAGCTGTGCTTTTTCCATATTAGGCACAGTGACTTTCATAAAGGGGACTCTGACATTTCAGCCTACATGTATGTAAGGTAAATGTCACCTTATCTAGAAGTTCTCATCTGGGGAATTAATTTTAATATAATAAATATGTTATATTTATATAATATAAATAGATTTATATTGTTTCAACAATATCTGAATGCAACACTTTGACATTTCCAAAGTGAAATATTTAATTCCATTAAAAAAAAAATCAAGATTTTGACTTTTTGTTCCAAACTGGGACAAATACAGATTTCAAAATCTCAAAAATGTTTGCAGGACAGAAATTCCATTTTCCAACCAGATCTAGAGACAAGAGACAGTGATTAAGAGGGTATATATATATATATATATATATATATATACACACACACACACACACACACACACACACTTACATGGAACTATTTCAATTACAAATTTATTTGAGACGTATATTAAGTGGCAAGGCAGAACAATGGGTCAGCTCCCTAGTCTCCCATTTCTGGATAGCTGGATTCAAGCCCTGGTTAAAATAATTTCCTGGGATGCTGCTTCTGCACAATACAGCTGCCCTTGTCACAAAGGTACCACTCAACAGGCCACAGAGTTCAGCATGACTGCAACACTGGGATGTGACCGGTCAGAGTTGAGAGGCACTGGGAGAGCTTTTTGGGGGGTGAAAGGCAAGCTCTACAGGCTGTGTATTGTGCTGCACTCCAGCCTACATTAATAGTCGGTCTTCCACTTTAATCAAGCGGCAAAGTTAACAATCATTTGGAAAAAGTGGTAGTTATGGGTCACCAGCTTGCCTAGATATATAACCTGCATTAAAACTGTTTGCAAATGAACATCTGGCTGCTGGGTCAGAATTATCTTACATCTCCCAGTAACTTGCCCCATCAAGCTCACTTTTTTCCAGTCAAATTGACAAAAAAGAAGGCTGCCGAGGCTGAGTGCTCAGCCTCCCCACTTTGTTCCAAAGCCAGAGAACTTGGTTGCTCTTCTTCTTCTTCTTCTCCAGCTCCTTGGAATTGCTTGCGGAAGATGAGCAGCTGGACTGAAAGGTTCTTGTCAATTTTACCTGTGAAATTGACAAGAGCCTTCCCGGGTGAAGCCACAAAATTCCATTATGGTTGTCCCCATATGGATTTTTTTCCTGAAAACCTCCCATTTTTTATCTTTCATCCTGTCCGGGGACAATTCCCCCACCCGAAAACATGAGCTTTTTCACCATTTTCCAACACTTCGCCCATTAGGAGTGAGTAAAGACCACTGAAAATACTTGCCAGGCTGCAAGCATCACTGGCAAGACGAATGCAGTGGGTAAATTGTTTGCTCATTATCATGACATATGTTTCAAACAAAGACATTGCATATGATCAGCTGTTGTGGACCGTGGCAGGCACGGGAAGCTGCTTGTGACTCACCGAACCTTAGATGCCCAGCCCCTGCCAAACTTAGAGCAGCAGGTGTCCTAATCTAATTTCCCCGGTGGAAACTCCATAAAGAGTTTACAATAGCAGATCAGCTGTAGTGGAGCTCATCTCCATTACGCTCCCTCCTGCCCCCCGCTTACATCTTTCTCCCCCTTACCCTGGGGATAGGGTGAGCATCAATCATAGGTAGTAACTACACCTTCTCTGCTAGCTTTACCATAGTGGACAATCCCCCTGCACAAGAGGAATTCTCCTGTGAACATTTTAGCAAAGAGCAATTTGGCACTGGAAAATACAACCCAGGTTATTGAAAATACACATAAATCAAGAATGATTTAGATAATGGCATAATTAATCCCTTTTGCACTCTACAGCTGCCTTCCTCAGTCTCTCCATGTGAAAATTCACCCCTATGCATAGGACCTGTGAAACACCGACATACCCTGGTCGTCAACGGGCGGGATCGAATCTGGGACCTCTGGAGCTTAGTGCATGAGCCTCCACCACATGAGCTAAAAGCCAACTGGCTGTTAGCTAAGGCTGTAGAGCAGACTCATTTTATCTTTCTCTCTCTCTAAGTGGTCTCCGTGCCACTAGATAGGACAGCACACCACACCCAGAATGTTTGTGGGTTACACCTGTACAAGGCTTTTGTACCACATACCCTTTTTGGAGAACTTAAGTGGTGCATAAGCCTACTAATGGGTCTCTGAAGTA